TTCTTGTGTTGCATAGCTGGGCAGCCAAATGAATCCAATTGATAAATTTTATTTGCCACACCTGGTTGTGTATGTTGTTGTTGTAATTGTAGATGATGCTATTGTTGCTCTTGCTGCGCATTTTGTCCAAGTAATCAAAGTACCTGGCGCCGTATAGCTGGCAATGCCTTGAGCCTGTTGCTAGCTGAGCTCCCGCCATCAATCTAAGAGTAGCTATATGGTCCGCCAAACCGACTGGAGAGGAGCTCGAACCTGATTTTGAGGCGATTTATGTTGAGTCAATTCTGCATAGGGCCGTTGTATATCCAGACTTCGACGATGAGCCCGTTGAAAAAAGTGTTGCCATTCTTAATTCCAAGGAGAGTTTCATGTTTACTTGAAAGGCGCATTCTGCGGCCATCGAGTTATGGCCATTCATCTAATTCAAGTCAGGCAATTTCGAGGTTGCATTTGCGGCCACTTGCGGTAGTAACGTGGCCATTCCGTCCAGCAACAATGACATTACAAATTGATGAGTTCGTCTGTATGCTCACAAGTATTTCTTGCTTTAAAGGCTTTTTCCACAGTCCTGGTTATTACAAGCGTACGGCCGTTGACCAGAATGGACGTTCATATGTTTAGACAGGCTACTTGCTGATATGAAGGTCATGCTGCATTCTGGGCATCTACAGAGACAGTGGTGTCGTTGATTTCGGTCCAAGTGGACGTGGTGGTATGCGATTTGAGCGCTGTGACTATTGACACGGCACAACCAGACTGGATTTGTGCATCTATACGGTTTATCGTCTGATTCTGAGCAAGCCGGTTACTGCATAGAAGGCACTTTGGGAAGTCGGGCACAGTACAAAAATGTTGGAAGTGTATGAACCAAAGACGGCACTAATAGTTAAACAGGAATCAGAATCGGATTCGAAATCATGCACGAAAGAATCTTTAATACTGTTGAAGCTTAAGATCTGAATAGGACAAGAGTAAGCTGGCCAAATCGTGTGGCCAATCAGCTTGGCTCATAGTTATCAACTCCGTCAGTGTGTTCAGAAGTGCAATGAGATTTCTGCTCTTTTAGTTGAAGTAGCAGAGAAGTGTCACGAGGCCTTTGGGACACACCTCTCAACAACAAAGAAGGTACGAAAAACCACGTCGATGAGGGCCTAACAAACATAGTTGTATAGCTTGAAAGCCAGAATCCTTACCATCTCCTTAGCTCGGTTGCTTTGGCTTCTATTCATTTCTGTTTGCCATTTTCTCCAATCTGGTTCAAGCTCGCGCACGCGTTCGCAGTCAGCTGTCAGGTTGCTAGCTCTCAAATCTTGACATTCTCAATTGGTTTCCCTTGTGATGGAGTCATGTCAACCCTCTTGCCAG